CCCAAACTCCCTAAACCCTACATCCTAAACCCCCCAAGAAACCCGCCAAATCCCCCAAGTCCATGTCTCTAAGTGTTCGAGGTCCTTGCCAGCGGCATGGACGTTTTCGCGCACAACGTGGAGACGGCTCGGTCCCTGACGCGATGTCCAGGGCGATCCCTTCAAGGTCATTGGCGCACCTGAAATTCGTAGCGCCGTAGTATAATAGATATAATATCGTACCATAGAGTACCCTGTGTCATGGTTTTGGGGCTTGGGCGTTCGGGTATGGGGTTTCAGGACTAAGAGGCTTGGGCTTTAGGGATTCGAGTGTAGTGGGCTTTTTCAGGCTTACGGATTACGACTTGTCAGGACGTTCAGGCTTTAGGGGTTTGGGCCGGAGGCCTCTGAATTTCGGGAACTACAATCGGTACGTCGTAACCCCACAGGCTTTAAAGCCCCTAATAAGCATGAGATCCTCGACCCAACAAGCCTAAGCCCTGAAACCCAAAAGCCTGAGCCTGAGAGTCTGGACGTCCTAGACCTGTAAGCCCTATAGCCCTAAACCTCAACATCTTTCTGCACAGCACGAACTTCAAAAGCGTTAAAAGCTCCAAAACAAATCCCTAGACCCTGGACGGTGTGAAGTCGTCAAGGCCCAAAAGCCCCAAGGACCCCAGTTCCGAGGCCCTCTCTTGGAGGTTCATGGGTAGTTGCAAGTGGGGTTATAAGTAGGGCAATTATGGCTATAACCCATATTAAGGGGCTTATAAGCCCACTTATAACTACCCATGAACCTCCAAGCAGAGCCACCAAAACTGTGCAGAAAACCCTAAACCCTAAACCGTAACCCCCAAACCCTAAACCCTAACCCCCAAACCCTAAACCCTAAACCCTAAACTCTAAACCCTACCACCCTAACACCCAAACCCTCCGAGGTTGAGCGCCTGCAGTCCACGGTGCGAGATCGGAGGGCCGGCTATGCTCAGACCATGGCGGTGCTGAAGCACGCCAAGCAGGCCCGGTGGGGGCTCGTGGGACTAAGGCCAAAATCATTACTTATATATATATATATATCTCTCTCTCTCTCTCTCTCATTTATATAACAAACATATATAGAGAGAGAGAGAGATTATTCCTTAGGTTCCCTGGTAACCGCAAAGCCCTCTGGCGGGGGTTGAGGAAGTAACCAGGGTTTAGGGGTTTAGGGTTAAGGGTTTAAGGGTTTAGGGTTTAGGGTTTTAGGGCTTAGGGTTTAGGGTTTTAGGGTTTAGGGGCCTAGGGGCCTAAAGCCTGAAAGCCCGGCCCTCGACTCTGGGGCCTCGGTGCCTTGGAGGGCGTGAACTTCGCTGAATTCGGGTTTTGGGGGTTTGGGAACTTTACGACTTCGCAATTTTGGGAAGCTCTGGCTGGGGCCTTTACTGTTGAATTTATCTAAGGGCTTTAGGAGGGACCCTTAATAGGGACACTTGTAGGTTGATGGGGTTAATATGGAGACTACCTGGCTATATAAGGGGTATATAAGGACTATAAAATGGTTATTTAAGGTAACGGGATTAAGGGTCCCTCCTCCTGAAGTCCTTCGAATTTAGGGCTTATGAACTGTAGTAGGGGGGGTTGCAGCTGCGAGAGCCGGACCAAAGTTGGGTGGGAGCGCGCGCCGGGGTAAGAGCGGCATCAAGCCGTGTATTCCGTGGCTAGAAACCCAAAGCTTAAACCCTAAACCCTAAACTCTAAACCCTAAACCCTAAAACCCTAAACCCTAAACCCTAAAACCCTAAACCCTCAATTTTTAATCCCTAAACCCAGCCCTCAGACCCTCAAACCGTTCCCTAAACCCGAAACCCTAAAGCCCAGGCGAGACCCGACATCGTCACCAAGTCCTCTGTCATGTTGGGACTGGGCGAAACAGATGACGAGATCCAGAAGGCCGGCACTTCCTAGTGGTTTCTTGTGATTTAGGGTTCTTGGTAAGGGTTCCTTTGATGGAGCAATTGGGCCTCTATACAAGTTCTATAGGGCTAATATTGAGAGGGTTGTTTTTGTTTTTTTTGTTTGGGGGGGGGGGGGCGGTAGTGCATCAGTCGCTTCTTCTTGGGCACAGTGTCCGGCGCCCTAGCTGGATGTGGAGTGTTCGCTGCCATTGCCCCCGAGTCCAAATGCCGGTTAAGTACAACGAGTTGCGGTTGTATACCTCGGAAAAGTGCTTAAACCCTCTCAATCACATCCCGACACCCCTCGCCCGCGAGTGTCTCGCAGACCCTCGAAGATCTTCGCGATGCTGGGGTCGAGATGGTGACCTTTGGACAGCCTGGCACACAGCGGAGGTTCTTGGCGCCTTGCACACCCAAGTCCAAGCCGAACCTGCGCCTAGGTATCTTCAGCCCACTAAGAGGCACATGAAGGCTGTTGGGAACGCTTGCATGTTGCAGCGAGCTTCAGGTTTAAGCGCGGAGAGTTTAGGGTTATCGCGTCTCCTTTGGTTCTGAGATCTGTGTCAAGTGGCCAGGATTGGAGGATTTTGTTGAATGCCTCCTTGTGCGACAGTCGTGCGGGCTTAAACAGATTGGACAGAGTTCTGCAGAGCTTGGATGGTCTATGTCTGTCATGTTATATTACAGTAGCACAGCAATGATAAATCAAATGGTAGCAGTAATTAATAATCAGAAGAAGAAGAAGAATCTTAAATATAAGTATACCATATTGTAATATTTTGCAATAACATAATGCACTGATTTGTTTTGTTGATGCGAACCACTGCGGGAGGTCACGCGCTACGTGACACCCGAGGAGTTCGACAACTGGAAAGTAGCTGGCGAAGCTCCGGCCTCATACCTGTAGCACATTCTTTTTTATTCTTATTACTGATACCAATACTCTTACCAATACCGTTACACTATTACGATTACTACTGCTAGTACTTATTCTACTTATCCCCATTCTTATTACTAGTATTGTTCTGTTAGCGTCCTAAACCCTAAACCCCTAAACCCTAAACCCCTAAACCCTATATAAATCCTGAACCCTAAACCCTAACCCATTCTTATTATTAGTACTGTTAGCGTTTCTTTGCTTGATACTGAGCCCCGAACCACCGAGGCCCAACTCAGAGGATGAGGTCAGGTTTGCGATGACGGCTGTGAGCCAAAATAGTTGCGTAAGAACTTAAGGCCCTAAACCCTAGAGGCCCTAAATCCTACCCGATTGCAGACTCTCCAAACCGAAGCCTTGGCCTGTTTGGCTCGTACAGAGCAGACTCCCAGAGGGCACCTGACAGTATGGCACGACACCCTCTTCAAACTAAAGTTGAAAATATTAAGACTTCAAAACTTCAAGACCCCGAGATGGGGTTAGTTTAGGAGCTCAAGAAACCGGACATGAGCCGAGACTCACAACTTCAAAGCACGGCGTCCCCTCCACGATTCGGCTGCATAGCACAATGCTCCAGAACGCTTGAATGTTTGAACCCTTTCCGGCCTTACCACCAAGAACTCGTAGTGTAACCTGAGCAGCTATCCCATAGTTAGTTCAGAAACATTGGCGCCTTTGCGTATATTGCTTACGTTGAGCTTCTTCTGTCCGCCACGGCTCCATCATCCATGTATGGCCCGAGCCTCGGACGGGTGCTTGGGAAGTTGCTCCTTAGTGCTCTGATTCTGCTGTCTCGCCCTAGTTGCCATCATGATCTATGGCGGCACGGAGTGGAAGCACCTCCGCCCTTCCCAACGCTCCCATAGATTCCCATGCAAATAATGCCCAAGACAGTGCCTCAATGGTTGCTATGCATCATAAAACTTGGATTGCAAGCCACATGACCATGTCATTAGTTTTGAACCTAAGAAATCAAAAGATGCCACGGTACAAATCCAGTAAGGGTTATCAGTTATCAATTGCTGCGCTACTTGTGAAATGCGATGATGAAGAATCCGTAAGTTGTAAGTCACAAGATTATACAGGAGTGGAACGGATTTCCGCTTGCAGCAGATTGTAAGGCATCTCTGTCTGCCTACGTGCATCTATATATAGATGTATAATGATGTGTATATATATATATTATATATATATATATATGTGTGTGTGTGTAGTTATATGTAAATACACACAGAATTGACCCTCCGATCTCGCCAAAGCATCGGTGTGAACACGAAAGCTTCACATGCCTTCTAGGTTTAAGGCTTGCCTTGGCTTCGCTTCTGCTAAGTGCTGAGAAGCATGAAGACCACTTTTGAGAAGTACGGTTTAGGGTTTAGGGTCAAAGCCTCTCCCTGTTGCTGGCGGAGGAAGATGAAAGCCATGAGCCTAAAGGCTCTAAACCTTAACCCGAGATCGTCAACTCACGCCAGGCCTCCGCGGCATCAACAACATCTACGTGCCTAGTGGCCGGCTGGGGGGGGGGCGCAAAACCCCGAAACGTAGACCATGTATATCTCAGAAATCACGGAGACCATGTGGACTATGTATAGGTTCTACCAACAGAGAGTCTTTAATCCTTGGCCCGGAACTTGCCCTGAACCCGCATTTTGAGATTCTGAGACCGACAACCATTGAGATCCAGGTTTTAAGACACTGCGGATCCAATATATCGGTGAAGCACTTCAAGACGTTGTCCCGGGGTTGGGCAGGCCTAGTCAAGCTTTAAAGCACTGAAGTGAAGCCGGACGCTGAATGACAAGACCACGCAATGTTTGGAGGCACCGGCCGAGACAGCATCATCACCAGGACGAGCAGCAGAGTCAAACAATGGTTTTCAAAGGTTTCGGAGCTTTGTCTGTCTGCAGCTGATGAAGGCATGACGGCTGTCATTTTTCCTCGTGTCTTGACACGCTTACAACTGCACACTACGTATTTCAGTGGCCGCTTGCCTTTGGTGTGCTTGTTTCGGCAGTCGGGTTACATGTCCGCTCAAGACATGGTCATGGCGGTGTCTTTGAACATGTCTTGAACTGCGCCACTTCAGGATCGTTCAGTCGAACGCTGACCCGGATTTTACCGAGTCGAAGACTGCAAGTTTGCTACACCAGACATTGAAGTGTCTCAATGTCTTCCATCAGACTGCTCCCACTACAGCATGCTTTGCATCAGTATGTCATGCCGTGAGCCTAGACGAGACCACAGTATTTCCACAAGCTCCACAGGCTGCCTCTAATCAGCCCTGCCTACACCAGGAGCTCGGACTTCCAAAACGGCAAGGTCGGTAGGGAGTCCTTGGGTTCGGAACTCGTGCGATGAGGGCACAAGCCAGAGCTCTTAGCATGTCTTTAAGGCTCGAGTGTATCTGAATCTGGGGAGTTGACTTCGCGGTTGTGTGCGCCTGGGCTTCCCAAGGCAATGGATGGGTTTGGGCCGACGGGCTTAGAGTCTAGAGCCGGGTGTTTTGTGGGCTTCCTGCCAGCAAACCCTCGGCTTGCGCAATTGGATTCTGAGGAGCTTGCACCATTGTACTTCCGTACCCGCCTCGAAGCTTCACATCCAAGCAGCCCGTAAAGTGTAATAGTAATGCCCTTAGTGGATCGGACGGTGCTTCACCACTACCGGCTACTGTACGAGTACGACCCAAGGAGGTCCCTGAGATGGTGAGCTAGTTTGTGCAAGGCAGCTCAGGCCCAACCCAAAAGGAAGTAGTTTCGTGCAGAGTGTGGTTTTTCCACACAACATATCGGATTCCAAGATGCCAAAACTGCATGCCAGTCTGCAAGAGAACTCTCAACTCCTGTACTCAGCCCGTCTCACTCCTTGAAGCCCATGAAGCTCTATCTATCTGTTTGTTTATCTGGCTATATATCTATCTACTTATCTACCTACCTGTCTGTCTCAGTGTCTATCTACCACGTACCTATCTATCTATCTACCTATCTATCTATCTATCTATCTATCCATCCAACATCTATCTATCTATCTATCTATCTATCTATCTATGCGATGTGCTGCCTATGAAGCCCTTGCCAGGTCTACTCGCCCTCGGTGAACAAGTCCGCCATGGCCGCCGCGGGTCTCCCCTGCCACCCGCCGCCTGGAACCTCGGTGTTGCGAAGCCCAAGGGCAGAGGAACAGCTGGGTTTGGGATGGTTTAGGGTTTAGGGGTTTAGGGTTTAGGGTTTAGGGTTGAGGAACAGCTGGGTTTAGGATGGTTTAGGGTTCTAGAGCTCGGGGAAAATTCGCACGGATCGGTATGTCAGTCCGGTGAGAAGGAAGGTCCCGAGACACCTAAACCTCGAGTATACCTTTCGGAGAAAGGCTCGACGGATTTGGTGGATTTCGGAAACCCTCAATGGTGCCGCAAGCACAGACCGTTTACTGAAGGCCTTCTCAAAAGTTTGCACCAAACCCGCAATCCCAACACCCTTTTCCCCTGAAGCGAAAAGAAGTCTACACCCAGCTACTTGTAAAGCCTAAGCCCTAAATGCTCCAGTTGCGAAGCCTAAGCCCAAGTCCCTATCCCCAAACCCCGAAACCCAAATCCTGAAGCCCTGTACCTAAACCCTAACAGCTCCAAAACTCGGGCCGAGGGATGTTGAAGCCGGCACAACCACCAAATGAAGGCCAAGGCACTAGACCTGAACCGTGGGGATGGTAAGTAGCGTGCCTATAGTCACATACCCACATGTTGGGACTTATTCCCAACTCATCTAAGCCCATGAACCTCCAAGTAATTGCAACTTAGTATTGCCATTCCTTACTCAGGGTTCCTTTTCCTAAAACCCTAAACCCTAAAACCCTGAAGCCCTAAACCCTAAAGCCCTAAACCCTAATGTACAGACGTCACAAACCGGATAGCCCAAAAGAAAAGGGCCCAGAAGATGCCAAGGCCTCGGCGGAATGGGCCCCGGCCACCAAGCCCGGCTGGGGAACTTGGTGTTTGATCGGCTTTTGGGTTTAGGGTTCAGGCTTTAGGGTTTGGGGTTCAGGCTTTAGGGTTTAGGGTTCAGGCTTTGGGATTTAGGGTTTAGGCTTTAGGGCTTTGGGTTTAGGCTTCAGGGTTTAGGGTTTATGGGACATCATGGCATTTTGCGTGGCTTCATACGGTCTTGCATGGCTTGATAAGGCTGTATATGGGCTTTATACGCGTCGGGTTTTGGATATAGTGCTTACACAGAGGCTAAGAGCTTCGTGTATTGGTTTCTCAGCTGTAAAGAGTGCTGGCACTCAAGGGGTGTTGGTTGAGATTCTCGTAATTTGGGAGGAACCCCAAACCTTAAGCCCTAAACCCTAAAACCCGAAACCCAAAAGCCCTAAAGCCCTAAACCCTAAAACCCAAACCCTCAACCCTAAAACCCTAAACCCTAAACCCTAATCCCCCAACCCGGGTCAACCCTTTAGCCGGTCGGGCACAGAAGTCTGAATAGTTAGCAATGATAAGCGCATGTCATACTCTTGCTCCATAACTGTACCCTAACATCCTGTTCCAGTCATGGAGGCCAGTAGACTAGTTAGGTTAAGGGGTTGCAATTTGTTATAACATCGGGTGCAAGATTGTGAGCCGCAGCCCCCGTTCTCAGGCGCATGCTCAAGAGTGAGTCCATGAAGATGCAAGCTCTCAGCCCTCGCAGTATTATGCCAGTAGTCAGGACAGTTCGAGAGCGATAGGAATAAAGGGTAATATAGGGGCCTTAATAGTTACCTATACTATTTGGGGCGTTCCTTGTCAGTGTATTTGTATTAGAACGGACCCCCAAACCCTATTCTAATTATTAAGGCCCTGCAATAGGTCACCGAAGCCGCCTGACGGGATGAAACAGAAAAGTGGGTGTTTGCAGAATGCTTCCGGCTCTCTCTCTCTCTCTCTCTCTCTATACATATATATGCATAATTTGTTTGTACAT